CCAGCCAGCCTGCTGGCTGGGGCATCCTGGGAGTTGAAGTCCACCCACCTTCAAGTTGCCAAGGTTGAGAAACACTGAAGGACTCATGGAGCTCAGCAGACCAGCAGGGAGAGTTCTGCTCCGCTGGCCAGCCGGGAAACCTCAAAGGAAGCAGTCCTTATAAGAGAAGGAACATCTCCAAAGGTCAATGCAATGTGCCATGATTTTAGGGGGCCCAGCCAGGAAGCACCCTGGGGCGACCACAGTCTGTGGTACCTTCCGTGGCTGGGAATCCCCGCCACCCCACCCTGCCTCCCAAGGCAGCAGATGCCTGGCCCACCTGGCGGAAATAGGCGGTTCTGTTCTGGTTGGCTTTTGCCCATCCACCACCCAGAAAAGGGTGCAGAGGAAGCAGTGGGCGGTCTTCTCTCCCCACAACTAAAAGCAGGGTGGGGTGAGGGGTTTGCTCCCCTCAGGGTGCAGAGCCTGATGGAGAATGGTGGGCCATCTCGGGAGGCAGGGGATGGTGGAATTAAACCTGCCGCTTCCCCCTGAAGTGCTCGGCCACGGTGTTTGCACAACCCCCTTAACCAAGTCAGTTAAAAACCTAGTTAGCAGGTCCTTTCATACCATGTATTTACTTGTTTGGCATTAGCCTTGGTTAGCTTTTCTTCTAGGCTAGCATCTTGGGCAAATCCAGGGCGTTTGGTTAGCTTACAATACAGTGGGTTGTGTGAACCCGAAAACGGGTTAGTTAGTCATCAGGCGAGGTGTGTTGTGTGAATGCCATCTTGTGTGGCTTTGCTTGTCCCATCTCAGTCTCCCGGGGGGGCTGTAAGAGTGAACTACGAAGCGTCTTTTGAGCTTCTGGGCCTGACGGAGATCAGAGAGGAAAGATGCTTTCTGGAGCATTTCTGGCCCGCACAGTATCCTGGGGCCACGGAAACCACCCTCCAGCACGGGGTGGCCAAACTTGGGTGGGCTGCAGAAAAGATGCAGCGGCATCACGCAGGGGGGCGAAGCTGAGTTTAGGGTAGAAGTGGTAAGATTTGTTTTTTAACTGTGCTGTGCCTGTTTTAGGGCTTAAGCTACAACTTTTATGTTTCTCGCCTGAAAATAGCTGCCAGTTTTAGCACTCATGGTCCGTGTGGCCTGAAAGGGCCACAGAAGGGGACCTTGGGGAGTGCGTGAGCCCTGGGGCCACAGGTTGGCCACCCCTTTTCCGGAAGACCTCAGACATCCTTCAGAGCAGCGGTGCGTTGCTTTCTTTGAGGCTGCTGCGTGCGCGTCTGCCCTGACCGAGCACCCCCTCTATGATTTCTGCCTTGCCATGCGCTCTGCCTTTCAGAAGAAGCCGTGAACGAGGTGAAGCGACAGGCCATGTCTGAGCTGCAGAAGGCCGTCTCGGACGCGGAGCGGAAGGCGCACGAGCTGATCACCACGGAGCGGGCCAAGATGGAGCGGGCCCTGGCAGAAGCCAAGCGCCAAGCCTCCGAGGACGCCTTGACCGTCATTAACCAGCAGGAGGACACCAGTGAGGTAGTGACCCTCTCTAGTCCTGACCTGGAGCCTGGCACCAGAGTAGCGGGCTGGAAGCAGCCATGACTCAGAGGCGGGCGTTTGTTGGTCTCGTGGCTCCCCACCCTTTGTTTGGCCTTGTCCTAACATGTAGGAATTGAGCAGAGTCTGGACCGCAGCCAAAGCCCTTTGCGAATGCCGCCACGGGAGAGACTGACCGTGTGTCTGGTGGCCCGGTGAAGAGTAGAGAGCCTCTTACCCCCCACGCTTGTCTTGCGGTCCGCGCTGATCTGTGTGCTTTCGCCTTCTCCTGCAGAGCTGCTGGAACTGCGGGCGCAAGGCCAGTGAGACCTGCAGCGGATGCAACACTGCGCGCTATTGCGGCTCCTTCTGCCAGCACAAAGATTGGGAGAAGCATCACCACGTCTGTGGACAGACCCTCCAAAGCCTCCAGGCTTCCGCTGGGGCAGCCTCCTCTGGCACGGTCGGGCTGCCCGGGGCGTCTGCCCAGCCGGACGCGGTGGCCGTGGCCCCTTCCGTCCCCAGCGCAGCCATGGGAGGCAGCTCCAGCGACCCTGGCTCTGCCGCAGCCTCGCGTTCTGGCACGCCGGCGACCCCAGCTCCGTTGGACGCCACGTCCCGCTAGGCGCCAGGCGAGAGGGGAGGAAGGCGACCCTCGCTGCTGCTGCTGCTGCTGCTGCTGCTGCTGCTGCTACCCCTTCTCCAAATGAAAAACACAAAACAAAGAACAAAACTGCATTCAATGCAAATCTTCAGCTACCTGACACGTATTTGACCTCCGGAGCAACCTCTAACTCTCACACAGAATCCTCACGAATCCTCAGACCTGGCTTTAAATGGCGTTAAGGCGAGCGCCCACCTTCTCCAGTCACTCGTCCGTCCTTTGAAGATGCCGATGATGAATACTCTGCTTCTTACCCATAGGATTTGGGGGAATTTAAGGTTGTTGGGGTTTTCCCCCCTTTACTTTCTTTTTCTTCTTCTTCTGCTTGGATGAGGAATTTGCAGGTATCCCCACCTCTTGACTTGGGGACAGGGAAGGAAAACGGGAAGATGCTCCCACCCGTCTTCTGCTGGAGGTGTGTTCACGGAATAAAAAGAATGAAAACCCCTTCCGTGAAAGAAGAAGGGGGAGAAGGCAGGGAAAAATGGATTTCAGTTACAAAAGCAAGCCTTTTTTTTTTTCCTTTTTTGTAAAAAAATAAAAATAGACAATAAAAACATCAAACTCTTTGGCTTTAAGTAATACAGAAAGAAAAAAAAATCCAAAAAGTACCCAACAAAACCAAGTAAAGGAAGCTTACCTGTAAACTACCTTGCTAGTTAGCCAAGAAATACCATTTTCACCTCTGCTCCAAAGGAAATCCAAAAACAGAAAAAAAAAATCCAAACTTTTTCCACTGCCAAAGTTTCTTTCTTTCTTTCTTTCTTCCTTTTTTTTTTTTTCCTTTTCTTCCTTCGATTGACTTCTTCCTCTTTTTCCTCAGTACGGAGGCTTTATTTATTAGGTTTTTGTGAACAGAGGAGTTCTACATCTCTCTGCAGCTTTCTACCCGCGGCGCGGCCGTGGCTGCTGTGGGTGGGGGGGGTTTTTATCCTTCTTTTTCTTTGTAGGGGGGGGGGGGGGGGGGGGGGGGGGCGGGAGGGGGGAGCGGACCTCGGTGCACGTGGACGGACCTTTGCCTGCTCCTATGTAACCCTGGAGGAGAACAGACGTGCAACTGTGGGATTCAGAGAAATTTTCGTAGAATAAAGCAAAAAACAAAACAAACGTATCCACCACTTTTGTGAGTGTGTGAGTGTGTCTGTGTGTGTGAAAGAGAGAGAAAGTGTGAGGCAGAAGTGACTCTACCAACTCCCTCGCTTGGTGGATTATAAAAACCCATTGTGCTTTTTTATATGTATCAAAACCTGTTGTATTAAGCAGCCACCTGCACACCCACCACACAGCCTGCTCCAGAGAGACCGCTGAGATTCACCCATTTCCGCCTGCTCTCGGCTATTTTTGTTCCAGCGCCAGAGCAGAGAGCCACTGCAACCGCCTGGACTTGTTCACCTCTACCTCTCTGCTCTCCATAACCCACCCACCTTCCCAGGCAGTTTCTTGCAGCTTCCACCTGGACGTCTTCCAGGCCCCCCGAAGAACCGACCGAGAGGCGTCTTTCATTTGCTTCTCCTCTTCTGGAGACTGGGTGTCAGGCCGGCCGAGAGACACCCCGGCTTCGGTGCCTCCTCTTGGACCGGTCTCCCCAGTCTGGTGCCACGCAACTTGGCAGGGCGGTCCCTTCACCTCCGTCCTGCTCCTGCAGCCTTTGGTCTTCCATTGCCATCCTGGTTCCATCATGCTTTTTCTGGAGGAAACCAACAGATGTTTGCCCATGGAGGAGGGGGCGGAGGAGGAGGAGGAGGAAACAGCGGTGGGTCCAATGGTCACAGTCCTTGCATCACTGTACAAAGCACTGAGGACGGGAGTGCAATACGGAGGGAACGGCATGGCTGCAGGGAGGGGGGACCCCTTACCAACTGCCCAGCCAGGGGCTCAGGGCAGAAATGTTGTACCTTTAATGTGAATGTAAATAGTCTTTGCAAAGGTTCCAAAAATACTGCAAATAATAGGGATGGTGGTGGTGGTGGTGGTGAGGATGATGATGATGATAAAGAGACATTTTGCCAAATAATGAAAACAGAGAACCACTAAAGTGTGTAAAAGTTGGGGAAAATAGGTTTTTCCAAGGAAGACAAATTGCTGTGCTCATGACAAGGTGTAGCTTTCTGGAATTGCAGGACTCTTTGGCCTTTTTCAATGAATCTTCTTTGTCCCCCTTAAACAGCCTCGTCCAACTTCCAGCTGGTTGGCCTGCAGGGCCCTGGGTGGCCTTTCTAGCTGGGGAGCATCAGGGTTGTAGTCCAACACCTCCAGAGGTCATCCAGTGGGACGATGCTGCCCTTATTCCAGCCACTGCCCGGGAGCTTGTGTCCCTCCGTAGTGCTCCTTGCGGTCCTTTTATGTCCCTCCCCCTCTTTTGACTTGTCCACCGCATCAGCACCGTGTCCTCTCCAGCCTGGAAACGATGCTGAGCTCTCGGGTGTTTTCTCTGCCTTATTTTTCCCCTCATCTCCCGATTCAGGCCCTTCCTTCCTGGGCATTCTGTTCCCCCCAGACGCAAGCAGCTCACCCAGTCTTTGTCCCCTGTGCCCACACACGGAGGCACTTCCTTCACCAGAACAAATGGCTATTCTTGCAAGGGGCTAATTTCTCTTGGGTAGACCGAGCTGCATAATGTGGATGATGGGTTCTCTTTGAGCTGCCTTGGCTGGGCTTTCTCCCTCTTGGGCAGAAGAGACCTTTCACTTCTGAAGCCCTGGAGTCCTGGTCCTGTGCTGTGCAAGGTCAGGGTCACTGATTTCGAGGGGAGATACCAAGACCAAATTAGTAAAAAGGGCTCTCCTCCTCTTCCTCTTGGCCAGCCTGTCTGCATCTGGCAACAGAACTGAAACAGACATCTGTGTACGCTGAGCCATTCTTTTTAGGTCCTCCAGAAACCATCTATGGAGCATTGGTGATTTGGTGGTCCTGTCAGTGTCTCTGTCTCAGAGGACCTGGGCTGTTGGGGGTGGATTACCCAATAGCCCTGGAGATACGTTCTGGTGTATAGGCAGTCGGTGGACCACCACCCAGTTTTTAGCTGCTCTTCTTTACCTGCAGTACCTGTGATGCTTAGGAAGGGAGATGAGATCTGTGCAATTGCCCTGCTTCGTCCACAGCATGTTCATTCCCTGGGGGCCTGAGGAGCATCGTCCATCTGAAACCCTCCTCTTTCTCGCGGCTTCCATCTTGTTTCTTACTCCCAGACATCTCTTAAGCCTTTGGAACCATAGCTCCAGCACCATTCTGCCACTCCTTCTTCTTCTTCTTGTCTAGCAGGAAACTTCCTTTCTTCTTTCTTGGTTTCAGCAGACCGTCCAGGTCCTTCTCCTCCTCTGAATAAGGAATGTGGAGCCAGTATTCTTGCAATGTAAAGTTCATTCCCTGGAAAGTTTTTTTTCCTGGTTTACACTACAAGGATGTCTGCTGACAGTGCATTGATCTTAGGTGCTTAGGTGCTTTGCTAAGCCTCTGCAATGTGAGAGGGTGAAGGAGAGAAGGAGCGCATAAGGCCACTGAAGGCAGCCGCCTCTACTTCAAACTGCTGGCTTGGAACAAATTGCTGGGAATGTGTGCATTGATCCAGAAGATTGCTGTGCCCTATAGGGCGTGGCATTGACCTCAGCTGTATGCTCCTGAACTTAAGCTGCAGCCCTACTGAACTCAACAGGGCTGACTTCTGAGTAGTCCCACCTGAAAGGGCCACTTGCTCTAAATACAGCCAATGCTCTCTTAATAGGACCAACCTGGGTCTTCCTGGCTTTGTTCTTGCGAGAACCGGTAGCAGGAACGTGGCTGGTTCCCCATCAGGCCCCAAAGTGGGGTGGGGGCAAGAGGACAGGATTATGACTCCCCCACACACTCTTGGCCATGCACTCCCTGCTATACCCTTAGGCTGTTTGGAAGGAAACCAAAATGGATCTGAGAAAAATCTTCCTGCTAGCAGAAAGCACGATGGCTGGGATCTTGGCTTTTAGGTGATTGTCATGAATAAGCAGAGGGGTTATGGGCCGTCCTGGTGCGGCTGATCAGTCTCTTGCCTGGCATGCGAGCAGCCCTTCTCCAGGGCACTGGCTGCCTCGCTGCCTCCTGTTCTTGCGGCTCTCCCCCCAACTCACTGGGAACCCAGAGGCAGGCAGGAATCCTTAGGGATTTACAGTATACCAAGAGATAAAAGAAATAAGGTGACATGCAGACCAGCAGCAACGGGGAAGAAAAGGGGATGGCTCCGCGGGAGTTTCAGATAGCTCTCCCCGTTCTGATAGCTTTAATCAAAGGTTATGGCCTAGGTGCACACGACACGATGGCATGAACCGTCACTGAGTTCAGAGGAAGTGTTTCAGGCTGCAGCCTATGAATGCCTTGACCTCACCTGCGCACTCTTCCTTGTGAATGAGGCCAATGGCAAAATTCAACGCAAAACAACCTTTTTAAAAGGAAGGACCGGTTTGCAAATGTGGGAAATCGTGCATCCGTTTGGCCTGGCTCAGATCAGATTCACGCGGCTGTTTCCAAGTTGACTTTTCCCAGGGATTTTGACAGGTGGCAGACTCCATCTGTGGACGGCCCTCTGCATGGTTCTCAAGAATCTCTGAAAAAAGGAGCTGAACCAGGACAGGGGGCCCTTCTTTCACTGCAGCTCCGATGTGGGCCATTTGCGATTTGTGAATTTGCCATGTGAAAGAACAAGTTTGATCCAAATGTAGGCTCGGTTCAAAAAGATCAAAAAATGCATTGCTTCTTTAGCTGGTTTGTGATCCTTGCCCCCATCCTTGTCCGTTTCCTTCCTTCTTGCAGCAGGAAAGGCTTCCAGGGAATGGAAGTTCCCATCTCTTGAGAACAGGGCCTCATCACTCCATGCTTGCCCAGTTTAGGACTCCCTGGAGTTCACTTCTTTGCTGCTCTCCATCTTGTAACCCTTCCCTCATCTGTTGCAGGAAGATCATCCTTTCGCCTGTCATGGTCTCTGCAATTGTGCACGTGCTGGCCTGGCTTCCTTGCTTGAAGGAAGCCTCAGATGGGTCTCCTATCTGTGTGTCACTAGCGCTGCCACCCAGCATGGTAAACCATGTGCCACTGTTCCTTGTGGGCTTCATTTACGGGCTGATGCAATGGCAGGACGTAGTGGCTCTGAGGAGCTATCGGGTGAACGAGGCATCCTTCTCAGTGATTTGCCCCCTTTGCCGCAGATGAGCAGTTGGGCCTCCCGGGCCCTCCTAGTCTCTCAGCAGGAGTGCAAGGGACACTATGAGTGCCCACCAGCATGAGGACTTCCTTGGGTGAGAACATAATTTGGGAAGAGTAAGCTGGTTTCTTCTGAAGGAAGGTGCTTTTCCAGAAGACTGTGGGAGCGGACTTAGGGTCACGTACCCGTTTTCTTGGAAACAGATGCTCTTCCCATGTGATGTTTCTGCACATGCCAAGGCATGGATGTGTCGTCACGATCAGATGTGTCCTTCTGTCTCTCAGGGTAGAACCTTTGCTCAGAGAGTGGAATGCAAGGAAGAGAAACGAAGCACAGAGGAGCGTGTGGAAAAATAAACACAGCACCAATCTAGCTTTAAAGACTTTGCTGAACCTCATCAGCTGGGAACCAATCCATTGCCATGCTCGCCCTCTTTCCCCCCGCCCCAAGCCCTGGCTCAGGATCAGGGGTGGAGAACGTGATCCAAATCCTTCTCAGTGGCTCTCCCTCATTTCCTCATAACTCTTGTGGATGTGAGCTCATCCCAGCGATTCTGGAGAACCAAAGTGCTCCTTCATGTGTGTTTTCAGCCAGCTCGCATCTCGAAGCTGGCTCTGTTCCTGGCGGGAAAGCATGCTGGATTCAGGTCAGGGGGGCGCGTTCCTGGGTCTTATCCCAGGCCTCAAGTGACTCTGCCAAAAGACTCAGAAGCTGCCAGCGATACAGGGCAGAAACGAGCCCCCCTCCTCCCCCGAGGTGGAGGAGAAGCACCGTTCTCAGGGTGCCCAGGAAGCGTCTCACACATAGAACCGTGCAATACTTGAATCAAAGGGTTTGGGGACATGGAGGGACATCAGTTGTACAGACCAACATGGGAGCGTGCGCGTATGTTTGCAAAGATGTGTTCAGAGAGGAGAATAATAGAAACTTAAGCAAATCAAAATTAAAAGCAAAAGAGAACCCTGGTCCCCTCCTCCCCCTGGTGTTTGTGGGTTTCTGTGGCCATTCCAGAGAAATGATTAAGTGATAGAAGGGTTGCGTTTGGGGAGCCCTTCTCTCGGCATGCTCTCCTTCCCCCCCTTCCCTTGTGGTTTCCTGCTTTCTCTAAATGTACTGTATGTTTGACCCGTGGAAGATGTAAACATTATGATTCAGGTTATGTCTGTTCTTAACTCTGTATCCGTGTAATAAAGATTGTTTAATATCATGCAACTGCATCGGTTTCTTGAGGATCCTCTTCCTCGGGCCCCAAAGGCCCCTTTGCGCAAACGGAAGAATGGCTGAAGGGCCACCTCATTGCCTGTTAGATTCCCAGAGCAATACCAGACCATAAATAACCAGCACAGGTGGGGTGGGGGGAAGGCTTCTTTCACCCAGCATGTTAAATCAAAATCAAACTAGCCATCTTGGGGCTTAGCTGTATGAGTCCAGCCACGGAATCCCAGAAGGAGACAGGGGATCTTGGATGCTCAGGATAAAGTGTTTGGCTGGGTGAGATACAGGAACACATCAACCGTGCCTCATTCAACCAACAGTTCACAAAGCTTTGACCGTGTGTGGACCCAGCCTTTGAGTTAGACGCCTGCTCCCTTTAATTCAGTACTGGCCACACTGACCCGCAGCAGCCCTCTGGGCTTCTGAGAGGCACCTGTCCCTCACACCTCTGTCTGCACAGACTCATAGGCACCTCCTTTTCCAGAGCTGGATGTTCAGTCCCTCCAGCCCAGTTGACTGCAGGCAGGAAATCCTTTTTCCAGCCTTACTGGGAGATGCTGCGGATTGGACCTGGGACTTTGGGCAGCTCTGGCCCTTCCTTAGAGAAATAGGCCTTGGCTAACAGAGCTGCTGGATTCCTTTGGTCAGCACAGATGCAACCCGGTCCTTGGTGCCACTACAGAGGAGACATGACCCTTCCCTGGTTGGGTTGGAAGTCTGTTCCTCCTCATTTAGCAAAAACATAGATGGGGGCTGAAACCCAACCCAAGTTTCCAATGTTTTATGCAATGAAGGAGCAAACCACCCTGAAATTAGAATTTACTTCTAAGTAAACATATTGGGATCACAGCATGAAAGAAAGGACAGACCAATGTTGATGAATGAGGGTGGCCAGCGCTTTCCCCCAGCTATGCTCCTGTGCCTTTAACTCCTGCAAAGTGGATTCAGTTGGTGTACCCCAAAGCTTGTTGCATAAACCAGGAGGCTGGACCCACCAAACACAGTCAAACCCCATGAGTTCAAGAAGAGAAACCTTCCCAGCACTGAGGTTGCACGTCCATATCCAGTTCTTCTAAGCCTCTTCAGCAACTGCTAAAGGAACAGGAGCTCTGCTGAGGGGCGGCTCTGAAAAATACCAGTCCTTTTTTTCTGACCAGAACATAAACCAGCCTGCCTCAGAGGCTGTCGCCTGAGACTGGGGAGGAAGCTCTGTCTAGTCTTGTCCACAGAACCAACAATATTCACACGAATTCTCACAGGCTTGGAACGTTGTCAGATAATGGAACCGATGCCGAGGTTGTACCCAGCCTCAAGACAGTCAACATGGCAGACCGATTTCTGGTGAATCACGCCCATTTGCTCTGCCACTGTAGGACACAGAGCTTAGGGCTGCCCCCCAGATGAGTTGGACGACCAGCTTGAATGTGACAGTGGCGTAGTGGCAAAGAGGTGATGGACTAGGACAGGGAGATCCTGGTTCAACTCTATGCCCATCATGGAAGCTCCCTGGGGGACTTAGGATGAGTCGTTCTCAGCCCAACCTACCTCTCAGCAGGGTGTTGTGGGGAAAAAATGGAAGAGTGAGGGGATGCTACATAAGGTACCTTGAGCTTCTGAAGGAAAGACAGGGTATATATCAAAACAATCAGTTGATATGAATAGCAGCCCTTGTGTTCAGGTTAAGGTAGAGGGGTTTTTTGCTCCTCCTTCCCCTGGTAGCCTAGCCCCCAGTGGGTCAAATGCTGCATCTGATTGGCTGTTAAGAGATCAAATGGAGCTCCACAGGTTCTGCCTCAGCTGTTGCTTCCTCCAGATTTGTCTGGCCTTGGTACCTGGGGAAAACAGACAAGGGTTTGCTGGCAAAAAGAGGTGTGAGTAATCATGTTTGGACTTGGGGCGAGGTAAGGTATGAGTGTGGGCTTGGCTTCCTTGTTTGCATGAACATTACTTGGGTCTCTTCTCTCCCAGGGGTTCATTTTTATAGCTAAGAGTGTCCTCTGAGGTTGCTTCATAGTAGAACCCCAGAAGGCTGGGTGTTGGCTCGCTCTGCAAACATAGTCCTCAAGTGGCTTGTTGCTTCTGGTAACTGTTTGGTTCCTAAACTAAGGTTTAGGGTTTATAAGCCACACAGACAGGCCATGGCTTAGTATAATCCATGAACTCAGCGAATGTCTGCCAACTTGGAATGTCCTGAAAGAGTGGCAATAATGGATTGTGCAGTTGTGATTTTCCTTTTGTTGTTAGAGCTGCTTATGGGGGGGGGGGGCGTCATGCCTGATTATTTTGCACCTTGATGTGTGTATGTGAGTATGTGTGTAAGGCTCAGGTAGCAAAATGCTTTGGGTTTACTTCCTATGACAGTGCTCTGTACTTGCCTCAGCAAGTCTTGTTCAATTCAATGGGACATTTCCAGGAATGAATCATGTTAGGGCTCTGCAGCTGACCTCCTTGGAGACCCTGAAGTGGCCCTCATGGTCCGGCTTCCAAAGCCAAATCTGAACTAGCCACGTGGCCATTGTTGTTATGCATTCAGAAACAAACAAACCGTTCTTAAGCCCAGCCTTTCTCCTTGTCCTTCTCACCTTATAAGTTGGGTCTTACACCATTCCCCAGAAATTTGCAGGCAGGGAGCCATGAAGATATTTTTGGAGGCAAGGTTAGGAGTGGTCAGGGGGAAAGGAAAGAGTCTCCCACGGTCTCTTGGCTCGTCTGCAAGCCCAGTTTGACAGGCAGTTGTGATGTAGCCCCTGCTTAATAGTTGCTTTTGGGATCTTAAGGATTCCACACAGCTTGTGAACAGGGGCATCTGACTAAGCCTTCTTAGCCCCCCCCCCCCCAATGCACACAACTGGAAGGCTTGTTCCCCATATGAACTAGGCCCAGTCTGAGAAGGGGCAAAACACTTTTCTTCATCTCTTGGTAACTGAAGCCAGACCCTCAAGTGGACAGGAGGTGGGGGGACTTAGAGAATACCCGTGACATTTCCTAGGCAGTCAGAACGCCAGCCTAAACATCTAACCTTGGTGATGTGACTTTCCCCAAGCCACCACTTCCCTGGTTCTGAATCCTGGTGGCGTGATCCTCCTGCCTTGGGCACCAGAGATTCCCCCTGGGATGCAGCTGAAATTTCTGCTTGGCAGAAACACATGGAAGAAGATTCAGCTTTGACTCCTCTAGCAGGAGCAAACAAAGAGGCCCTGCAAGCAGAAGACCCGGTGAGTCTTACTCTGAGATTTGCATCAGCTTGGAGGGAGCTTCTTGGAGACCATGTACGAGAAACTCTCCTCAAGGCTCTCCCTAACTCTAAGCCTCCTCTGCTCATGCAGAAGTGAGAAATGAAGGGGGTGGCAGGCCTACACTTCTTGCAAGGATGAAAATGTTGGAACCTGAGAAACCAGCGCCAGTGGAGGCCTGGGAAGGGCTGCTTCCTTTCTGAGCAGAACTCTGTGCCTGTGGGAAAGGGGTGCTTCTCATCTTCCACCTCTACTTTGCTTCTCTTGGTGTGAAGGAACTGGAGGCCATCAAAGCCAAAGTCCGTGAGATGGAAAAGGATGATGAATGGCTTCAGGAGCTGCAGAACGAAGCGAAGTCCCTCCTCGTGAGGTCAGACACAGGTACGGCTCATGTCACCGAGGGCTGCCCAATAGTGGTTGCCTCTGGGCCCTTCCCCAAGTGGGGGCTGCTCTGATCCGAGGTCAGCATCACTTCTCTGGGTCCCCATACCATCTTCATTATCTGCTCAGCTTTTGCTCCAGAAGAAGCATTGCAAAGCAGTTTGTTGGGACTGTCTTTGGCTGGAGCTGATGGGCCTGTGATTTAATCTTGTGGGGGCACTGCTGCCTCTTCCCACTCTACCTTTCCTGTTTCTTTTTCCCATTTCTGTAGCACAAAGCACATAATGCTCTTCTGTCTTCCCAAGGAAATCTGGGGAGCCCAATTGTGCTGATGAATCAAGGCATGTAACAGATGTTGGGTTCACCGATGTGAGCTCTGTTCTAACTTCTCCAAGTGGCAGCATTGTTGCTACTCCCCCAACCCCATGGCCACCTTCTGCTTCTTTCAGGGTTCTCCCCTTGCCGTGAAAGGCCCATACTGAGGAAGAGCAACGGGATCCTATTTTTGTGCCCTTGCGTTGGCCAAATGGGAGGGCAGAGGGCAAGCAGTTGGGACAGTGATGCAGTGATGCAAAACTGCCGAAGATGGGCCAAGGGTGAGGCCAGTGGCCATGTGGAAGCCCCCCCCAACCCCTTTCCCTGCATGATACAAGAGCGGTGCCTGTCCCAGAATTCCCTTGGATGCTTCAGGCACAGGCAACTGGGGGAGGAAGCTTTCGTAGTTTAGGGGAGATCACTTTTCAGGGCGGTGCTGAAATTTATAACATAATCAACCCCATTCAGCTGTTCCACTGCCATTTCTTCTTTTCTCGCAAAAATCTCTAGCCCTAGCAAGGGGTGAGTTAGGGTATCGAAACATGATGATTCAAAGGGAATTTCAGTAAAGTGTCACCCCAAACTGCCTTTTTTTGGCAGGGACGGGAACATGCTGTTCTAGCACTGCTTCCGAGGGCAGGAGATCAAAAAACACCGCAACTTTTACAACTGAATTTCAACTGCTGTTGGGTTTTTTTGCTAGATTGTCTCTGTTTTGTTCAAAAAGAGAGAGAATGTTGGTACAACTTGTACCCATCTTTTTTCTACTGAGCTCAGAGGTCATTGCTGGGCCTTCCCTGCCATGTCAAACTGTCCGGGAAGTGAAGTAGACAGACCCTCCAGGTCACTAGTAAGCTTCAAGGCTAGATAGGGGTTTGAATGCTTTGGAAGTGCTTAAGAGGGACAAGAACTGTAATATAGTAGGAGGGGAGAGGCCTTGGTTAAAGTGCCCCTTTGACCATAAACATTTTGTGGGAGACCTAAGCTTAGTCCAGCGTTTCTTAGACTGACCTATCTCAGTGGACTGCTGCCATCAAGGAGATGGAGAAGTTGCCTTGAACTCCATGGAAGAGGTGGGAGATGGAAGGTGGACATGAAACAAATAGACATCAATGGGTTCAGGATCGAAAGGCAAGCCCGTTATAAGAAATAACAGTATGGGGATTACAACTCCCAAAATTCCCAGGCACCATATTCAAAGACTGGCAAAGGAGGGCACTGAGCTGGGAAAGACCGGCAAAGACCGTCTCCACCCTAGCTTCTAGAGTTGTCTCTTTCTTGTGCAGGTCTTCTGTTATCTAGAATAAATGAGAAAAAAGTGGAGGCTGACCAGCGCTCGATCTACGTGGGAAACGTAAGAAAGAGAGATTAAATCATGTGTGCCAGAATCTGCACTGAATGGTGGGTTTAAGTCTGAGGGTTGCTCCCTTTCTTGTAGACTCTTTTTCCCAGTGATGGAAGGAGACCTGAGACCCTGCATCTGTGGAAATTTACTTGGGTCTATAAATGACTTGGGTCTATAAATCACTCCACAAGCTGGAGTCCTAGCTGTGTTGGGACTACAGTGGTCTCAAACAAGGGACACCAGAGTGCAGTTGGAGAAGCATCTGCCTGATCTTCACAGGTGGATTATGGAGGAACTGCAGAAGAACTGGAGTCCTATTTCAATGGCTGTGGACAGATCAACCGAGTGACTATCCTTTGTGACAAGTTCTCAGGCCATCCAAAAGGGCAAGTGACTGTTATGGGGAGAAGCGGTGGGGGGGGGGGATAGTTGGTTAGGAAGGAAGGGCCTGCCTATCCAGATGAGTCCAGGGCTTTTGTTTCCCTAGGGCTGTATAAATATGATAAATAAAAAAATAAAAATAAATACATTTTACAGAGCAGTTTTGAGAGATTTGTTTGGTTTTGAAAGCCTGTTACATTTAACATAGATCTTGAAGTACAAATTTCACTGCCTGAAAAGAATGGGAGACCATGTTGCCAACTTTCAGCAGAGCCTTCAGGGGCCAAAAAGGGGGCTTGGGGCCACAGGTGGCCCCACCCTTCTATAGGAGCTGGTATCAATCCTGCCCTTTTGAAATACTGCATGGATTTTCTCAACTTCCTGAGACTACAGATAGCAAGAGGAGCACCAAGGCTGTCCCTACACGTGTTGGGCAGAAACTCAACAAGTGTAGCTTCTTGCAGGAGACAGACCTTGCTACGGAGTACAGACCCCTTAAAGGCCTCTCCTGTTGCAGGTATGCCTACATAGAGTTTGCTGACCAGAGCTCTCTCAAGGCAGCCATGGAACTGGATGAAGGGACATTCAGAGGCCGCATCATCAAGGTAAGCACTGCGAGGGGCTATCCCGATGCAGGAATCCACCATAGGCAAGAGTGGTTGCTGGATAGCAGGATACCTCTGAACACTAGTTGCAGGTGGCAAATAATAAGGTCCTGTTTGAGGCCTTGGTTTGGTCCCTGTCAAAAGCTGAGCACTGGCCAAGTTGGACTTCTGTCTGACCCATCGTAGTTCTGCTCTTCCTGGAAATTCGGGAAGCCCAGCTGTGCGGGTGAACTCAAGGCAGGTACAGAACTGGCTGGGTTCAGAAGATGCCTGCCCTTAAACAGCCTAACACTAACCCATAAGCTCAGATTATCAAGATACAGAGGCAGGATTCACACTATATGCAACTGTGTTACGTCTGAAAGCAATGGCCTGGTTTCCCCCACGTGCTGCGGCTGCACCATCTGCTGCCAAGCCAACTTTTAGCGTAGATGAGTCTTGGGCAACCTTTGCCAGTTCAGAACTTACAATGCTCCAGATTCTTCTGGACAAGCCGTTGACTGCTACATCAGGACACAGCCAGCCTCCACATAATGCTGACAGGCTTTAATTTCCCTCCCACTGAGCTGGAGGGCAACTGTTTTCCACTGTCCATCCTCTTCTTTCCACATGCTCACATCTGATTCCTTGGATCCATGTTGTTTTGGCTTCAGGTGCTGCCCAAAAGAACCAACTTTCCAGGGATCAGCTCCACAGACCGTGGTGGTTCCCGGGGTCGCTTCCGAGGCCGGGGAGCCCTACCTCGTCATGCCAGCTTCTGTGGAGGGCAGCGTTCGAGGCCACGTGGCAGAGTATTCAGGTGAGCGGGCAACACGGAGCCTTTTCTGGTAAACTGTCCTCCTGGAGGGGGAGGAGGCTGAATCCTGGCTCCATTAATGGTATGCTTGTAGGAAATCCAAACTTGTCCACATCTGGCTACTGCTGGAAGCTTTATAGCGTAGGCCAGTTTTTAAATTGCTGGTATTTTTTCTTCTGTTCTTCCAGTTTGCTTTTCTCCACTTTGTTAGTTCTACAGTTGCCATCTTGGTCTTCGAGAAAATCCACATTTCTGTTTCTGTCAATATGGGGCAGTGGTTAGGCCACCCCTGTTGTTGGAAAAGCCACACCTGGTTTCATACAACCCAACCTTCTCTTAGCCCACGGCCATGTTTGCTCTCTGGACTAGGAGCAGCTTTGTCTGTAAAGAAGGCACAGAGGGGGAGAAGAAAGGGGGAACATGGCTTCCCAACCAACTCAAGGAAGTAAAACAAGTTGCTGTGACAAGCCCTCGGGTGTCTGGCTGCTGGTGGTGCTGCCAGAGTGGATCAGCATCACTGAGGCATTTGTGTGACCAATAAAGTTTGCAGACACATGCAGGCAAATAATCGGACATCTTGGTAGCAACTGCAGGCTGTGGCTTTTGCCGCACCAGAAGGACGCAGATGAGCAGTGACTGGCTCCCTGGCAGCATATCATACCTGAGATCTCTCACCTGGGAGCCCAGATGACCCTTACCCTCCTCCATACCTTTTCCAAACCCGGTGCTCTCAACTGTAGTGGACTACAACTCCCAGAATGGCTGAGAATGCCAAGTTATAGTCCAACACAGCTAGAGATGCCCCTCTGGCTATAGCAAGAAAGGTCCTTGATATCAGTTCTGTAAACTGCAGAAGGTTGCTATGGGAAAAGAGGTTGACCTACCACCTTGAGATACCTTCACCAGTGAAAAGGTTGCTTGTATAAAACAATTTGGCCAATTTCCCTTGATGTGTTTGGGGGTTTAATTGGTGCATGATGCTTCTCCTTATATGAGGTCCTTAATAAAGATCTTTGGATCCCTCCCCATGTTCTCCTCCTTCATATTGCTTTCCCCCACCTCCTTTGGTTTCACTGTGTCATTGTAGTTCATGCATTTTGGGGTTTACAGAGTTGGCGTGCTAGATGAGTGAGGTTTGTTAAAGGAGTTTATAGTTTGAATGGCAGGATGGATTATCCTGGGGAAGAATGTATTTAACGCCTTCTAGTTGGAAGGGCTCACTGGGCCCAACCCCTCGAATTGCAGGAACCCAATTTAAAGCATCGCTGAGCAATGTCTCTCTAGTTCAGTGTTTCTTGACCTTGGAACTTTAAGATGTCTGGACTTCTGGATGAAGTCCACACATCTTAAAGTCCATCTTTAAGATGTCTGGACTTCATTCTGGCTGGGGAATTCTGGGAGTTGAAGTCCACTCATCTTAAAGTTTGCCAAGGTTGAGAAACACTGCTCTAGATCCACAGGGAGGGGTAGAGTGCCACCTCCCTGGGAGATTAGCTCTACAAGCAGGCTGTGGAAATCTTCTGCCTTATCGTTCTGAACTGGGGATAAAAATGCAGGTGGACTAAACGTAAGATGATAACACTGATGTCCGGACCTCTCTGTGCACCCGCTTCTTCTCCAGGGGCCGTGAAAGGATACCTGCTTGGTACACACCTTACTAGGTGGTAAACAAGACGACCCAAGCAACACTCCAGGAGGAACTCGGAAGGGAAGAGAGGAGCAAAAGCCAAGCCTGTCTGTATTTGTTGTTACGTGTCAGCAATTTGTGAGGAGCGACTGTCCCTTTGTCCAGAGAGAGCAGACCACCCCTTCTTTTCCCTGGTAAATCAAAGCAGCTGGTGGCAGAGGAGCCGGGTGGAGGCACCCAAATCTCGCTGGCCTGGCCTGGGGGATGCCTTATCTTCTCTTGAAAAGTTGCAGCACCGTAAGGGCCCAGAATCCTTTTTCATTCTCCAGCTACTTCTGAGATATGTGGTATTACTTTAGGCGAGTGAGGCGGTCACTATCTTTGGCCTGGATGTTTAAGGCCCTTAATTTGGCCCATTACGGGGAGGTAAACAAGGGAGGGTGCTGCTCCTCAACAAAAACCTAGAGTTAACTGGAACCCAGCCCCCACGTGCCAAACCCTCTTGTAAAATCATTAGGAATTGGTTGAGTTTGCTGGAGAGGTGATGCAAAACTATTCTCGGTTCTCCTCCTTTAGGGATTTGGGGTCTCTCTGCATCTCATTATGCAGTTACACAAGCAGCCTGTGATGATCTGTGAAAGCGTGTGTGTGCGTACGAGGGGCCGGCAATACAGGGTGGGGTGGGGTGGGGTGGGGTACAGCAATAAGGGCGTAGAATAGCACATCTTTCCTGCCTTTTTGAGATGATCCCGAGGGTCTCATTGAGCATTTTTAAATGTCCATCCCTTGTGCAGCTTAGAAGGGGCTGTGAAGGCTGGCTGGAGAAAGGGATTCCCTGCAAGAGGCAGGCCAGCTGGGTGGTCAGCAGAGCGAGCCTTGGTTTCCAGGGTATTGTTGCAGGCCGCTGTATCCTGGCGTGCCCTGCTCATTTTAAGCTAATTTAAGATAAATATTTCTTCAAAATAACAAGGATAAATGAATTTTTATTACGGGGCTCACCCGCTGCAATCTTGTTTTGGCCTCCTTTTACTCCAGAACAAGCCTGGTATATAAATTACAGCTGCTGATGCAGCTTTCTGGACCCTTCAAGGAGACCGTGCCCAATGAAACCTTTTATCTTGAAACCACCGGGGCGTTTATAAGAAAAGCCAGCATAGCGTAGCGACTTGTGAATTGTGCCAAAATAGACTAGTCAAGTTCACGTGTTATTGAAGCGATCTTTCCCTTTAGTCCTCTTGCAGCAGACAAAAAAAAAAAAAAATCTTAAAAAGGAATTTGTCCTCAGTTCTGTAAATTCTCTCTAGAAGTTCTGTCTTTGAGCACTAGAGACATCGGAAGTGAGTTTTACCATGTAAAAAAAAAACATTCTCTCTTCCTTTTGGCAAGTGGAAAGATGGGATCGATCGGTTGGTAGCATTTAAGGAAGCAAAATCAGCTCCCTGGTTCTGGCCCCGCGAAGCTGACCTGGAAGTGCTAGAGCAGAAGAGGGCTCCCTGAGATGCTGGGCAACGTCCCGGGGATTGGGCCCTAAATGAACTGTAAACAGGCAGAGGTTGAAATGAGCAGAATGAAAAAGGAGGGTTGTATTAAAATGAATGTACCTATGAACAGAGATGTAGTTTGTGATAAAGCTCCATTTTGTAAGACGTTTATCTTTTTTACAAAATAAATGGTCCTACTAGCGAAACGTAAGCTTACAACAACAGTGGCTGGCTGCAGAGGTCTCTCTGGACATAACTGGCTCTTCCAAAGGCATCTTCAGAGCTGAGCCGGGCAAAGTGGCTTTACTGTTACTATCAAAGACAAGTCTTCGCGAAAAGCAAGCATGCTAGAGAGAGAATTAGCCTAGCTCTCTGACATCCTAATTTACCATGGATGAAAGCATTTTAAAAATATAAAGGCATTCAGGGGAATACATACAGTCATTAAGGAGAAAGCACTAGCCCATTCTGTCCCTCAAATGGAGAGAATACTGTATTTTTGCTTCTTGCAGCAAGATGTCTTGGCTGGCCCTAGAACAGAACCTCAGCCAGCCTGCTCAACCCAAAGAGACATTACTATAAACTTACTCCAAAGTTTAGGGATAGGTTTCTATTATGATGCCAATTTGTCTCAATCCAAGCCCCTTTTTCTTAGGATGAGTATCTTGCTCCTTGGGTAGCTCTGCAAAAACCCACTTCAGACTGATTGAGCGGAGGAGTTTATTTTATAGGATACAACACCAAAGGGCAGAATATACAGGAAGAACATCAAACAAGTCTGTACAGGGCAGGTTTTCTCAGGCCAAGGAGCTGGTAGAAGAGGCAGAACCTTCAGCAAACTTGAACCATCATGGACATCACCATATTATCAAAGGCCCTTGAAATGCAAAAGAGGAAGCTTTAAAGCAGGAACCAGATCACCCCACCAAGTCCAGCCTGACAGACGAGCTAATTCAGGAGTACAAGAACGGCAGTTCGCCACTTGTGGGGCTCCGTGCACCACAGCTAGATCATCATTCGCCTCTGCCCCAGGCCAAATTCCCTTCTATACAGTAAGGGAGTGCACAGAACAGAAAATATGGTTTTGCACGCAGAACAAACCACTGTGTTTTGGAAGTTCTGCTGAAATGTTTTGGCTGCCCAGGTTTTGGACAAAACCACCCCTGAAAGGTTCCCAATGATTTTATGGGGTGAACAGACAAGGCTGGTCCATGTCACCCCTCTCTCTTCTCAGCAGACCCCATTCTTCCAGCCCCTCCCCCCCATTACTGCTGCCACCGAGGCAGCCTACTTCCATGGCGTATCTTCATGGTCTGCCCACTCCAATCTACCCAGGACCTTCTCTCCGCCACTCCTGGCATCTTTCACCAGTACGCCTGACCCTCCCCCCCTCCTTCCCCATAGCTGCCACCGCCACCACTGGTCTCACTTATGTGCCTGCACCTTATTGCAACGCTCCGAGCAGTAAGGAGCTAGCTCCTGGTCCCAGCTATCCCACCAGCCCATCTGCTTCCTGAACTTCCCAGCATCTTCCTTTCCCTCCCCAGCTGATGTCCGTCCTTGGCTTTTTCCACACTCTTCTGCCCAGAACTTTTTGTCCGTACGCAAAACTAAACAGCCCCACTTGGTACAGACCAGAACGTCCAAAACATGTAGTTTGTTTAGGAGCGGACTACCCAAAATGAGTGGTTCTGTACACAAAACATTCTGCACTTCCCTAATTTTTACCCTTGTTATGCCCAAAGGACGTTCAGTTTCTGCAATTTAGCAAACCAATCAGATAGCAGATGTGGGACTGTGTCACTTGCACTGTGCCATAAGTTCTAGATTACAAACCAATTGGGCTGCATTCAGGCGTCATGCTAATTTACTAAACCAAAACTAAGCAACTTAGGGCTAGTATAATGTATGAATCCCAGGGTTTGTGAAAGGTGGCCATCACCTCCCCTGCTCCCCCTGCTGTTTGCGTTTGCTTTCACATGCAGGCGCATAGGATCCTGTGGCTGTCTTAGGGCTTCTACCCAGCCTTCTGCTTCAGTACAAAAGTTGCAAAGCAACCACTCAAATTAGGGAGCTGGCAACTAAACTTAGACATACTTCAGCAATTACTCTCAAGGCGAGTTGGTGAGGATTTGTTCATCAGAAAAGCCAGAAGACTAGGAAATGATCAAGAAAATGTCTCGCATGTCATCCAGTATCTTAAGACCCAAAAGAAGGGCCAGAAAAATGGCCTTGGCTAGGTGGGAAGAAGTATCATTCAGTCATCACCCCAGATAAAAAACCATTCTCCAGAAGGTCTCTTGTCCTCACTGAAGGAGAAGAAGGAGAAGGAAGAGAAGGAAAAGGAGGAGCAGCAGCAGCAGGAGAAGGAGCAGCAGAAGCAGCAGCGGGGGTAGAGACCTCGGTAAAATTAAGATCCACAGATCTTAAATGGCAGGAAGGTTTCTCAGGACAGCTGTGACTTCTGAAAGGGGAGGTACCAGCTGAGCTATAGGCAGCCTGTGAAGTTGCTGAATTTTAATACTTTTGTATAGCATGTTTAAACTAGTAACTAAATCCTTTTCTGCATCTGCCAAAGCATAAATTCATCAAACAGGTTGAATTTACACCACAACACAAGCCATACCATAACCATGGTTAAAAGTCATCCAGTGTCAGGTCAATGCAGCCATTTGGTCTTTAACGGACCTGGTTAAGAACAGTGTGTGAATGCAGTCATACAATAATACAGCAAAAGGGTTTAGACCAGTGTTTTTCAAACTTGGCAAGTTTAAGATCTGTTGAAGACCACACGTGTTAAAGTTGCCAACTTTGAAAAACGCTGGTTTAGACCTACACACAAGATTTTGGGTCAGATCTACAAAACCAAGGAAGGGCAAGAAAAGGCCATTCTTAAGCGCTTACTCACCTGGACTGGATTTGGTCTCCAGGATTATAAAAGGGGTTGCACATGACATCTGTATAAGAATTATGCAATTTCCTGAACATCTGCAGAAGAAACCACTTCAGTTATATTTAATCATAAAGGGACTAATTTGCCTCCAAGCCGTTGGATCTCCCTCAGACAGACATCTGGCGGATGCCTCAGACTTACGCTGCGGATTTCATTGTCTCGGAGCGCCGTGTTGGAAGAATCCACCACCATCACAAACTTCACTTTGGAATTCGTCACATACCCATAGCTGATTGGCTGGTTGAGGAACATGCACTTCTGGAGACAGGAGGCCAGCCACGTGAGGGTGTCCGCAGAGTAGGGTCAAAAGAGTCACAATGGCGGCCGCTATGGTGCATGTGTGACACACCCAAACAGGCAGAGTTTTGATCACATCTCCGTGGCTGCCAACGTGACTTTTTTGACCTACTCTGCGGCAGCCTTGGAGCCATAGCAGACAGCTGATCTCCCACAGCCTTGTCTCTTCATCACGGCTTCAGACAACAATTTGTCCAGAGATGCCGAGACCAGACCCTTCTCTGTGTCGAGGGTCTCGTCTGCCACTCAGCCTCAGCAGTCAACCATCATGAGGCCTACGAGATCCGGGTTGCAAGAGTCTGGATGACTCCTGGATAGCCCAGAAAAAAGACACAGAAAGCCCTACCCTGTGCAGTGCTCTAGGGGTCCCCTGGACTTTTGCAGTCCAGGTCTGGCAGCCTGAGCCTCCCCCACCCCGTATCTTCACCGCAGTGGGCGTCTCCTCGTCCTAACTAGCTGGAGGATTAAGTGCCAGAGGATGCTCCCCTTCACACAACCTGTTTGAAGTAACACCTTAAAGCAGAGTTTCTCAAACTTGGCAACTTCAAGATGGGTGGCCTTTGACTCCCAGAATCCCCCAGCCGGCAGGCCTTCAACTCCCAGAATCCCCCAGCCGGCAGGCTCGCAAAGGGGTGGCTCCAACGCCCAGGGTCCCCCAGCCAAATTCTGGGAGCTGCGTTCCGCCCCCCGAGAGCGGCCGCCCGGGCTCGGGGGCGGCGTCCCCGCGAGGATACACCTTGTAGTCCTCGGTGGGGTAGAGCAGGCCGAGGTAGAGCTCCCGCTGGTCCACCAGCGCCTTCCCCAGCGCGGAGACCTTCTCGTCCACCACGTCCAGCGAGGTGTGCACCGTGTAGTGGAACTTCAGCTCGCTCTCGGTGGGCGCGCTCTTGATG